AATCCAAGTGAGAGACGGCCTCTCGAGACAGCGGAAGAGAGGCGCGGAACAAGCAAAAATTTTCAAGCGGCGCGCCGAACCGGCGCGCGATTGTAACTGCAAAAAAAGAACAATGCATGTGTTAACAGTGAATATCAGATTTAAAATGAAAAACCAAAGCCGTGAGGACGAAAAACGTAAGAAAACGAATCACGAACGAAAATCCAGCAGCCAAACTTCACACGCGGTAAAAAAGAAAAAAGGGAAAAAAAAACGGAAAAAACGGGAAACGGTAAAAAGAAACCCGAGGTGTAATAATCGAGAAAATCAGTTTGTGTACTTCGTCGTTCGTACTCCGTCGTCGAGACATCTCGACGCGGCCGTCAGTCAATCGCGATCGCGTATGTGTTCGTTGTGAAAAAGTTGAGAGACAGCTTACGATCGGGTCCGACGCGAAAAGTTCGCGGGGGACGAGAATTGGACGCATCGCGCGCGTGCTTCATCACCGCCAAACATCCGCGGGAGGATCGCGGAATTCCACACGTTCGGGGAAGCGGAAGGGATTCCCGCGCAAGCCTGGGTATACTTCGTATGTTAAATTTCCCTTTCAGGGAAGTGGAGGGTGAGTTTGCATCCCCGTCGGAACGCTTTAAACATACGAAGCGCGTCCGATTGTGTGCGCGCGCACGCGCGCGCGGTTGTTTTCGCCCCGCGGATTAACAAACGTGTGCCGCGTTTGCAGGACTTCGCGATTTGTCATCGTTTTTCGGTTTATCGAGGGGACGGTGACACGAGTCGCCGCCAGGATGAGGGGGAGGGCGAACGAAAAATTCGTCGCCCTTTCGTCGGAGAGAGGATTCTTCGGGAGAGAGGGTGGCGCCGTGACCGCGCGCGCCCCTTCTCGCTCGAAACTTCCGTCGTGCATTCGCGTCGTGTCCACCGTGCAAAAAAAACATTCGCAATAAAAAGGGATATCACGTCGCGACAGTCAATTAGATCCGATTCGAGTTTCGCGCGATAAAGGCGATACTCGAATTGTATAGATATATATATATATAT